GAATTTTTGCTGGAAAAACTTTTTTTCAAAATTCTTGTTTCTCTGATTTACATTTACACGTAGACTTTGTTTTGTAATCGATTGTGTTTGAACGAAAGTTTAAAAATGGGTCATCAACTGTTTGTCTTCTCGCAAGTTCGCGTGAACGATATTTTATTGTAATATTTTACTCTTACGTGGTATTACGTACAATCGAATTGCCCTCGTGTATTTGATAAAATTTCACTTTAAATATCACTTTGAATTTAATTTTCAAACTTTTCGATTTGATGCCTACTTTCGTGCATGACACTTCGTCGATCATTCGCACTTTTACAAATTCAAATATGGCGAACAAATTTTCAAATGAAAGAAAGTCTCCACTCCGTGGAGGAACATTTTTCCACTTATTTTTTTATTTCCCACACAGAACCAACCTCTGCCTAATCATGTCACGATTCCAACTACACGTTGCACAAAGGTGCAAACCTTTTGTTTAGCAGACAGGTTCGACCTCCGTGTAAAGTTCACCGGTACTGAAACGGCCGAAAATGTTTCCTTAAATAACGCGACCGTAAAACCCAGTTTAATCCACCGTCCCGTCGAACAATTCTGCATCTCGAAACAATCGGCGCAAACGACGCGTACGAGGCACAAGCGTGTATTGAAGCTAGTTGCCAGCGACGCTGGTCGCTGCTCCCGCGAATAATTGTGCGCCCGGTAGTTGAATTCATTTTCCAATTAAGAGGCCTACGATTTGCATCCGACTCTGGCCGAATCGATCGATCGTCGCCATTAAATTCGGGGTCGTCGACGGTGGAGAAACGTGGTTAAGCGTGGCTAACGATAGCTCGACTCGTCGTCGTCTCAACGATGTGTCGAACAATGTGTACTTATCGCAGCGTCGAGCGTTCCCTTGAAATTGAACCATTTTTTTTTTTTCCTTTTCATGATTGTGCATCGCGCCATTCTTCCATTCTTCGCCCGCCGTGAAATCCTATCAGTCGCCTTTAAAAGCTAGCGAGCCTCGCGTTGATACCTCGCCGGTTCCGCGCCGTTGTTAAAACTTCTCTCCTCCGCGAGTGGAACACTCGCTCGTTCGACGTTACCGATTCCACGAGATCGACAGACTGTTCTCGAGTCTCTCTGATTTGCGAGTGATTTGAATCACGTAATTAACGAATCATTGATTTGCTTTAACTTTAAATTATGAATCTTTCGTACCGCGTAGTTCATACACGGCAATATTTCTTACATTCTTGAGTTGCGTTTGATTTTTGTATGGAAAGAAGCGAGTTATTGGCAAGCATAATGTAAAACGTGTCTGACCATACACGTGGACGTACTACTTGAAAGTGAAGTAGCATTAAATTTTGTAGAACAACCTGATACCAAACGCGTTTGGAATTTATATCGAAACTTTTTATGTACTTTATATAATAATCTTTCGTACATTAATGAGCAAACATAACGTGGAGTATATCTGACCGTATTTATGTACGTATTTTGAAAGCAAACCGGGAAAATTTTTTGGGATCAATGATTATGGGATGATAATAACGCATTCAGGATTTTACATTACATACAGAAACATTGATGAAACGTTTGCAAGATTAATGTATTTTTCGGTGCACTTTATAATCATTTTTCATACGTTATATAGATTAATAGAACTTTATCTCGCGCGTAGTAAATTGTTATTGAAAATATCTATTCTACTTGTTTCAAAATATTAAATGAAAGTGTTAGTGCATTAACGATGGATAAGAATGTTTCTGTTTCCAAAGGAAGGATAAACATGCTCCATTCAGAAACTGAAACTAAAAGGTACATTGTCAATTATTTTTCAGTCTTCAGCTAATCAATTGTCAGACCAATGGTGGTCACGTGTACAAAGAGTAATAATGCAATTCTTAATTCCTCGGGTACACGTTTCACACGTTCA